GTAGCCTAAAATTAGGCGCTAATCGAATGTCGCCTATATGTATACTAATAATGGAAAACTGAAACCTTTTTAAAGTTTTCAAAGTATTTTACCATATTTTTTATACAGATTTTTTAAAAGTACTTAAAAAAATAATATTCTTTAAAGTTTTTTTTTTCATTGAGTCTTTTTATACCGCACTTCGAGCATAATATATGATTACATATGCATGTGCTGTAGCCCACCGTTTCTGCAACGGTTGCATAAAAGTTTATATAAAAACGTGAAATTTAATACCGTTATTACAGTTATTCAAAACCAATTCACAAATTTCAAAATTGCCAATAAAACGCAACTTGTAAGGCGGCTGGCCTTTCGCGGCAGCGTCATTATTCAAATATATCAATCAAAGGCGGCAAATGATTAATAAAACGAAGAATTACAGTCACCAAGAGCGCTGTGTGGCGCCACAAACAAAATATGTCGCATCAGCATTAGCGCTACAAATGAGGGCAGTTGTCGCCAAAGTGAAATGTAAATTGTCTGCTGGTCAAAAAAAAAAAATATGTGACAACAAAACAGCAATTAACCGTTGTAGTTAGAATTAAATTTATGTGTGAATGAAAATTGAAATGTTTTCGCGACTGGTTGTTGCCATTGTTGCTTGTGTTGTTAGTGGGGTTGTTGGATTTGGTGTTTGTGGTGACGCTGTTAAAAAGTAAGTACTTCTCATGTTCACATTGCTGTTGTTGCAACTAAGCAACTGTCAGCTGTCAAACGTCAGCGAATTTTTTGGTTGTTGTTGTTGTTTGTTGATTTGTTGTTACACGTCAGAGGAGAAGCAAAAACATTTAAATAAAATAATTTTATTGCCAAAAGTGAAGTCCAAAAGCGGAGTTAAGTGGAGTGGCAGGGAGCAGGCGCGGGGCGCACTTACACTGTGCTACTTAAAAATTTAACATTAACGAAATTAAGGAGTAAAAAGTCGCTAACGAGAGTACATATGAAAATTAAAGAAAATCCAAGTCTCGTAAAAAATTCAAGAAATAATTTGTTAAACAACAAAAATATATTGTTGTTAATTTTTGTAACAGTGTGTGCGTGTTGCTCACTCACATGTTGCTAATGTTGTTGCCAAGGTGTTGCGCACTTTTTCAGAAGTTGTTGTTTATGTTTTTATTATTTTTATGTCTCCGCAATATGTTTTGCGGCCAGTCAAATTACACACATTTGACCTTAATCGCTGCTTGCCACTTTGTAGACAATAAAAAAAATTTTATTAGCAACATTGCTATTTCACGTTTATTTAATTTTTTCTCTGTTTTTTTTTTTTTTGTGGTGAGACGGCTTTGCGTAGATTGCACAGTAGCAGAAGTGCCAATTAAAAAATAACAAAAAACGCAACAAAAAAACGTAACGAACTATTACACCAAAAATGGTGAAAATGAAGTCATGCGAGTGTTTTTAAATATTTTTCTTTCTTCTTTTTTATTTTTGTTTTTGTTGATGTTTATATTTTATCGCCAAAATCTATAAAAAAATTATAATTTAGTTACTGTCTAGCCCTATTGTATAACGTGATAATACTCTGAGAATGGACAACCTCACTTTTTGCACCACAAATTTGTGAAGAAATTCGGCCATATACTCTACATTATCTGCTAATAAATTTACTTATTACAATTTCTCATAATATAGGTTTATATTTATTTTACACCTAATGTCATGTCTGAAGTTCATAACTGAATTCGTGTTTGACTAATTAAATGAAAATAAATGAAATATTGTCAACTCTAGAAAACATAAGAAAACTTTTATGGAAATATGCGAGTGGCATGAATTAGTCGATATTTTCTAAACAGCAAACTGGTGGAGAGTGGTTCGTTTCATGAATTGCTACTTTTCACTTAAATTAAGTAATTAAGATTAAATTACTTTATTAATGTATAAATGTGAGCACGACTTAACCTAATTCGTCGCTAGAATATCTTAACTTCGAAAAGCGATTTCTTATGCTTTAATATTTTCAGAGTAGTACATGAATTCAAGTTCAAATGAAGTAATTTATTTGAAATTATGCGTTTTATAGAGTAATGTGAAAACCGCTTAAAACATATCTCGCCAACAGAAATGACAGTTTTAGTTTGTTTTATTTATTTTTAGAAAAAAATTAAATTTTTTTAGACACTTATTGTTTTTACAAATATGTACTAAATCTGCTTTTTAATTTACCGAGATTTTAAATCATGTTTGTTAAATATTTATTGGAAACAAATATGTAGAAAACAACAACGCTGTGCCTGCCTTACAATTTTGTATAATTTTCGAAGTTCCTAACTGTAAGTATCTAACTGTGGGCATAGTTCATTTAATTACCGTAGATTGCTAGAGACATAATTTATGGACGAATCATGTAATTTATCAAACGAAAGTTCGTTTTCAGTTCTTAAAATATATATTTAATGTTGAATTAACTATATTTACAATTATTACTGTCCAGTATTTAATTACCAACATTAAACCCTACTAATTACATATTTTACGTAAATCACGTACATATTTAGTGGTTTAAATCGGGGCAGGCTTAACAGTAATCTTGACCTGGACACTTGCTTAATCAAACAAATACAATTATTAAAACTTCTCGCCTAAACTCTCAACAAACCATCACATAATTAATTATATGTAATTAGAAAAACATATATTATAAAAACAAAAAAAAATTGTTTCTGTTATTGAAATTTTGCATGCGATAATCAGTCAAAGCAGAATGAACAAAAAACATGTTTGAGATGAAAATTAGCGGCCTAAGTTGTAGTCTAACTTCAAAATCAAGCTTTGTAACATATGTTTTTATATACAATTAGAAAATTTCCGGTGAATACCAGACAAATTTGGACGCTCTCAGCAGTTTAAGCTAACGAAAAGCGCGCTGCTACTATTATAGGAATACAGCGCGCGAGAGAGAAAGAGACAGCTAACTTGTAGGAGTATAGAGAAAGAGGCTGTTGCATTGAAAATTAGAAACTGTCACAAACAATCAATGCTGTGTGCGATTGTTTGAAATCATCACAATCAAAGCGACAAAATGTCAAGTACTTTCAAGTAAATACATTTATCTACCTAGTAAGCGCTATAAAATGGCAACGAAATATACGAAATACAAATACCTATATATGATATGTATATATGTATAATATATATAGCTTTAGTTATGTCTGTATGTGTACAACACATCATCGCGATACCTTGCTGCAACGCGCTTAGATCATAACAGCAATGACTTGTTGTTTGACAAAACTGGCAATCTGTCCAAAACTTTGTGGCAGCAGCAAAATTTCAATGGCAAGTCATGTCAACAGTGCAACTTTTTCAACTCCAAAGCGTTTCGTAGACTGCTATTGCTTTTTTACAATTTTTTCTATTTTTCAATGTCTGCGTTGCAAGCGCGGAACTGGAAGGTCATGCGCACAAAAATGCCAATTCCAGCGAATATTACTACATTTATAGGTGGACGTTGCAGATAAGCTGCACTGTGTACTATGTGTCGAGCAGTGATGACAGCTACTTGCCACAATTCCATAAATTCATGATTTTTCGATAGCTGCATTTAGCGCGGCAATTTGTTGTTGAATGCAGCGCACAGCTATTGAACGCTTGATCGTCAAGTGATTTTCTCACTTTTTATAGTTTTGCAAATATTTGCAATTAGTTGAAAATTAAACAGTAAAATTTTGATGTCACTAATCTGTGCATAGCATCAATGTGCATAGAAGCAAAACGAAGTAAAAAAAAACCATACTTGCCACTTATGGCATGCCATGAGTTACAAACATATAAAAATCGACATGCCACAGCAGCAACGGCGCGCGCTACATACCCAGCAGACAATCAATAAATTTAAGTATGTGTGTGTGAGTGCATGAAAATGACAAAGTCAACGATTAGAATCAACTGGCCAAACGAGGAAAGGCGCGTCGCCGCGTCAATAACAGCAGCAGCGTGCAGGTGAATTGCATTGCGGCGGGCGGACAGCATAGAAAACTTTAGCTCAGACAGCAGTTGAGCCCATGTTGTACGCCTGTATTTGGCGTGGACTATGGAATTTTTCGCCTTTTCGCAGCAGCGCAATTTGATTGTTGCATTTGTAGACGAGGCAAAACACAATCAGTGAAGCGTTGATGCGCTTGCCTGCCGGTTGGCCTCGCCTGCTCCTACTTGGCAGCATTTTAAGCAGGAGGTTATAGTAATGCTGTTGTTTTTAAAGCTGTTTGTTTTCAGTTATTTATTTTTATCTTTTTATAATACTACTTGGTCAAGCGTCACTTGCACCGAGCTGGCAATACGACGCGCTGTGACGAGTGTTATGAGCTGTCACAGTGACAAGCGCGCACTGCACTTGTTCGCACTGAAAACACATGTTGTGCACAGAGAGTCGCTAGCTAACCGCTTGATTGTCAGCGTAAAGTGGAAGAAAGATTTATGAAGCCCAACGCGTTTATGGTCATGACATTGCCTGGTAGGCAGGCAGTGCGTAAGCAGCGCGATTAACTGACTTAGCTGAGACATGCAACAGTGTATGTAGTACGCATGTGCGCATATTTGGCGTGCAGCTGAGTGAGTGATGCCGGAAAATAGACGCGCTGCATATTACACAAATTTGTGTGCGGCGAATGGGCACGCGCGCGCATGCGGGCGACGCGTCAAAATTAAGCGCGTCATTTATAATAAAGCAAGCGATGCGCGCGACGCGCTAATAAGTCGAAGTGCGCTTAAAATATTTTAATGATATAGGTGTTTGCGCTGCGTTATCGCTGCTATGGTACACACAGCTCGAGCGTTTGTTACACTTTAGGCAGCAGAAGTAGGTTGTTTGGCATGCGTCAGCCATTTTTGGCAGGCACGCATGGAATTTACCAAGTGTTACCTTTTAAAGCGTGTTTTTTTGTTTATGTTTACAGTCAATTGATTAAAATGATATTATAAAAATATTTCTTAGTTAGCAATTTTAGTTTACTTACCACAATTATTTGTAGTTGCTTTAATTCGTATTTAAAGCATTTTTAGTACGCGTTGAGTTGTCTGAAAGTAGAAGAGAAGGAAAAACTAATTAGTAATTGCAAGGAATTTGTTGGAGGGTGCCTCCTTCATCTATAATATAGCATTTAAATAAAGATTATATTAGAATTTAAGCGCTTTTTAGTTAACATGATTATACCATACTTTGAATTTTTTACAATTTTTGTTCTTTTACTTTTGCGCCAAGATGTAGGCAACACATGTTATCTTAATTTTTGATATAGAGAAGTCTTTGTGTTTAGAATATTTCACTATAGAGTGAGTAGGCAGCGCTGAATCTAAGTCTCTTTTCAGTTTAATTTATTAAATACGCGCTTTGTTGCGATTTTTATGAACTTAGTATTTGCGCCAAGATGTAGGCAACACTTTTTACCTCAATTTGTGATTTACCAAATTCATAAAGCTCAAGAGTTGTACAGGTGAAGTGCTAGCGCTGAATTCGCATCGCTCAGCTCATACATTATATTTTGCCTATTTAAAGTAGCTCTTAGTAAATCAGAAAAATACAAAAATCAACAAAACGACTTTTAAATCTGTATAGATCGAAAATTTTTGCTACACTCAATTTATAATTACAAAAAAATATTGACGTTTAGCAAACAACTCACCAAAATAAAAATAAACACCAAAATCTACCGGTGTGGGCATTGCACGCGAGCGCAAGTCATTAATCATTAGTGCTAAACGCTTTAATTTTCCTAATTAGCTAACAAACGAACGAACAAGCGAAATATAACCACTTTTTTGGAGCGCTGATCTGCATAGGCCACCAGCGCGCTGAAGAATTTAAACCAAAAGAGGTGTAGAAAGAGCAAGAAATAAAACAAAGCAACAAAAACAAAATACAAATTGGAAAAAATGGCTTGAGCGCTTGTGTTAGAAATACACATACATGTGTAGTAGAGCGGCGGGCGTTGGAGCGGGTGTGCATTATCATAGCGAAAAGTAACGAGCGCATGCACGCCTACAACGCCCCGCAGCAACGTACGGCTTACAAATTGTTTAGAAAAGGTGAGTGAATGTACAAAACGCAGAAAGTATGTATGTATATGTGAAAATCTTCGTTATAATGTGTGTGTGTGTGTGATTGGAGGTAAGTGTTTTTCAAACAACTTGTTGCATGTTAGCCGCCGAAAAACCATACAAAACGCAAAGACAACAATAACAATAAAGTGAAACAGGCACATGGAGACACGCCCCCAAAACGTGTGTGCCGCTTGACCATACACAAGCCACAACACAATTAACCATCCAGCGGACCCACCGAACGCTAATTAGAAATTAGAAATATTAATGAATGCTCATAATATATATTATATATATGTATATGTGTATGTTAAATGAGTGTTTGTGTATGTGCAACTTGATATTTTGAGGGTGGCAGCATTAAATTTCTTACAGCTGTTTCATAATATGCAAAGCAACGCGGTTGTACGAAAGACTGAAGACACAAACTCGCTGCGCAACATGCACACATATATACATAAGTTTATATAATATATGTGTGTCAGTGTGCACATTTCGAGTGTAAGTATGTATGTGTGCTCTGTTGTATGCGTAAGATAATCATGTTTAGTAGCGTCGCTAACACTTAATCAATCACTGTCCGCCACACATGCGCGCTAAAGCAAAAAAGAGCGCATGACAGTAAAGTACAACAACAACAAGGAATGTTACAATAAAAATAGAAAAGCAACGCTACCAAGAAGATACGCCGTTTACGCTTAAAGCCAAAGCTAAAGTCAGCGCTACTGCTGCTACCACATCCAGCGCTGAAGGTGAGTCGCGCAATTGCCAGCACAACAACAATAAATAAAATAACAAGAAAAATTGCCACTTCAATAAAACTAAAACGACGCGTGATGGTCGTTTGGTATGCGGTTCGCGCAGATTGGCTAAATAAACGCGTTAGAAACCAAAGCAAAAAAAAAAACAATAACAACAATACTGCAAAATCTCTTAAAAGCCATCAAACAGTTAATGCGCTAAAAGACACGCTGTCTCGCGCATCGTCGCCTTTGCCACGCTTAACAAACACCAGCCAGCAAGTGCGGCAGCAACCTTCACAGCGCGCACGCTAAGCCGTTAAGCTGCATGCATAAGCCGCTCTAACCAGCCAACCGCCCACACCTTTACCCACTCCGCGGAAACGGTGGAAAAGACGCGCGCGTCTTTGCACTAAACTTGCATGCGCACACCGGCATAATGGCGAGGGCGCACGCGCATGCGCAAAACGCTTGCAGCAAAAACAAAACAAAAAGTCTGCCTAGAAAAACTACAAGTGCCAGCTTTACATGCGACCAGTGGAAGCGTGACGCCGGCGAGCGTTTGTTGTTAACACATTCGCTTTACCACCCGCCGCTGGCAAGCCTGTTGCCGCGGTGATGGCGTTGTTGACGTTGACGCTGCAACCGCGCGCTCGCCATTACATAGGCGCAACAACATGAAATTAAATAGCTTTGAACAAGCGCAAAAAATATTAGAAAACAATATGCGCACAACAATAACAACGCCAACTATAGTCAACAAGTGGCTGGCCGTTCGCGGCTTTCTAACAACAAACACACAAACTATCGTGGCGCATGCGTTGCAGCCATGAAATTTAGTTTTTTTCAACATACTCGCTTAATATTGCAGGCACTTGTTGTTGCTTAAGCGTTGCAAGAGCGCTTTGCGCAGCAACAAACATTAGACGACCCTCACTGGTGTTGGATTTAGCCGCCGGTTGTTTTATAGGTTTTAACTAAAGATCCAAACAGGTTTCGTGGCAGAATATTGTCGTAGCCTATTTTTCTTAGATGCTCGTCAAATATGCTTGTAAGTTTTAAAATCTTTTTATAGTTAATTTTTTTTCTTCTGTATGCCTAACAGTCTGTAACTATTTAACTAACACAAGATTCTATGCTTTCAATGCCTGTTATATGTAAATATGTGTGATTTTTTCCAAATAAAAGTATGTACATATTTTCTGAAGGTATTACAGTTTATTGTAAACAGCCACAAATTATGATTGATGATACAGTATGCCGACTAACTACTACAACAAAAACAGCAGCAACAGTATTATCGATCTATTGCCTGGTCGCGCACATGCGTTGTCTAGCATTTACCGCTTCTCCAATTAGCCTCTAACCATTCGACAGCGTAGTTGCTATTAAATGAGTTGAATTATGTACTCATAAGCATATTTAGAAGTTTTTACAAAAATGAAATAAAGAAGCATCAAGTCGGGTTAGCTATGGTTTTTTAATGCATTTGTGTGTATGTGGGAGCTGTTGTGCTGATTTCTAGCCCGCAGCGCGCCTAAAGGATAATTGCGCGTCTCTCAAGGTCTCTGTTTTTATATATATAGTATTATGTACATGCATATATAAAGATAGTTATATTCGTAACCTATACACATATACAAAAGATGTGTTTGTATATGCGTGCTTATATTCTACATCCAATTAAAATCTTTAGATTGCAATGAGCCACTGCATTGTAAGGGAAGGTTAATTAAGATGGGCAAAGCAAACTCGGCAAGGAAATGATGTTATGGAATTAAGAGTAAATATTAAAATTTTTTATTCCTACATAATTTTTATTTTTAAGCAAAAATGTTTTTTTTGTTGTTTTGTATAAGACTAGATATTGTAAATATTTTGCTGAAAATGTCTTCAAGCCAATTTATCGTCAAAATTCCTATTATATAACAAAGAACTAGTAACAAACCAAATAATTTTATAAAACGATAATTTCATTTAAAACCCTTTTTTACATTTTTAATAAATTTTTTATAGAGTTTTTTTTAAACAGTTTTTAATACACAATAGGGTTTTCTTATTTGTTTGTTATATTTTTTTAGTTCTATTATGCGTTATATAATTTTAAAATAATCTTCGAATACTATTAACTACAATGATTAACAAGAAATAAACAAGCCACATTATTTTGTTATATTTAAACATTAAATTAGTTCTACAACTTCTTTTGCGATTTCAAATATAAAAGCTATAATTTATTAATAAAGATATTGAAATAAATAAAATTAAAAACTTAGTTTTAAATATTTCTAGCTATTAAAAAAAATTTTAAAAAAAAATTTTAATTAATAAAAAAACTTGCTCATCATAAAAATTAAATAAAAAATTATAATAAAAAAATTTAATAAAAAACTTGCTTTTCATAAAAATTATATTAAAAAAAAAATTAACTAAAAATTGTTAAACACATCTATTATCTCCTTTGGAAAATATTTTAATATTTTTTTATATTTTAAATGTGCTTTTTGTTTATTTTTAAATTATTTATTATATACATCTACATATACATAATTGAACCAAGTGAAATCAATTTCTTATACAACATTTACGCCGCTATTAGCATTAGCAACTCAACTTCATATACCCAAAATAACTCAACTCAACCTTCCAAAAAAGTTTAAGTTGCACTCTTAACGTGAAATCGGCACTCTTTTAGCTTGACAACATAAATACAACTATTACTGAAATTAGTTGTCATTCATAATGCAAAAAAAACAGCTCAGTTATTTTAATTTAAACTCAACTATGTCAGGCTTTTAATCATAATACAGCTATTAATATTATAAAAAAAATTTCTTTTTATAAAAAATATGCGAAAAAGTCAGTTTCGTGCAAAATAATAGCGTAGTAAAATCTCTAAAAGTATTTGTGTCTAAACAGTACTACGTACTTCACAATAATATAAGCTTATTAAAGGAAAACTTTGTTAAACCTAACACTCGGCTGTGCAAAAAAACATTAAGAACAAAAAAAAGTGAACAAATTTATAAAAAATTAATTGCAATTTCTATTTCATACACAACAATACGAACCGCCGACCTCGCCTAATTTGTCACAATAATAGTTTTGCTTAAAGTTTTTTCGCCAACAACAAAGCACTCTAGTTATGTACTAAATGTGAAAATGACGGGAAGTAAATTAATTATTTTTTATTTTACTTCAAGCAAAGACGAGCTATAGGCATTTTTATTAACTGAA